AGAAAGGAAGAGAGAAGAAAAACAAAAAATCAGACTAATTAACTGCAAATATGTTACACCTGGAGCAAAATTTCTTAGCCATCAAGGGAAAATACAGTGATGCTTCCCATATCTTAATTAAACACAACATGGGCTCATACAGTACAAAGAATCTGCTAACCTTCCTGCTGTAAGTGAATTTCAGCCTACACATGGAAGACTATTTTGAATTCTCTGCAGCTTGCAAATTGTGCTGAGCAGTTGTCAGATTTCCGCTTAATGCATTTCAGTCAAGAGTTGAGAAGGGGCTCATTTGTAAGTGTTTTGCAGGAAATGCTTTCCTGACAAGCATGAAATGTTAAGTAGTAATCTTTGCTTTTACGCTGTTTTATTATAAGCTATATCAAAACATACTTTTAGGAAATAAGATGACATAGTTTCAGAAGAAAGACTGGCCCTCACTTAATATACTGATTATTAATAGTTTTACTCTATAAAATATCCAGACCTGATGCTACATATTAACCTTATGTACTAACATTCTAATGCTATTAGAAAATCTTGCTGTTTTGATGCAAGTTTTAGTCTTTCCAGAGAGCTGATGATAAATGTACCTCTGAGAAACAGGACTCATCTCTTTTTTGTGTTTTGACAATCACTGTGTTACAGAGTTTTTGTTTCTTTGCTACTATGAATTTAGAAAGAAAATTTGGTAAAAGCAGCAGCCACTCAGGTTTAATTATTCTTTTTTCTTTCTTTTCTTTCTTTTTTTTTTTTTAAATATTCTTTTGCCTTCTTACACAACATTTTCTGTTTCTACACTTTATCCCAATTCTTTGATAAGCGTAACAGTGCACATGGGTCCTTTTTAGTCATATAAACATTGAAATAAAGTTTGCAATGGACCTGATTTTTTTTCAGTTAAGATTGCCATATGAGGAAATAGGGCTGTGATAAGAATCTTGTGTAAGTGAGGTACAGTTTTGAAGAACGTGTCCTTTACTGACAATAAGTATCAAGAACAGTTAGCTTTATGAACATTCACTTCAAAAAATATTGGTTTTTTTTCCCCTAGAGAGGCTGTTGTTCAGTTAAAAATGCAATCTCTTAACAATACCTATAATTATGCATGCAAAGTTAAATATTCATAGTTGTCCATGAAGTACCTGAAAACAGTGAATACTTGACAAACACTTCAGGCAAATGCTGTAAAAACCAGAAACATAACTTAAGAGTCTGTCTCAGTAGAAAAGTAAGGTTCACTGTTTTTCTGTTGTTTCTGTTCTGAAACTGGAGGAACAGCTTTCTTGCTACCAGCGAATTTTGCCGCTACCCAATCAAATTGGTGGAATTGAAGGTTATAAAAGGTAAAGATTACTGTAGACTGAGGCTTATATAAATTCAGTTGGTTTGCTCCTGACTCTGTCTGCCCTCTTCAGTGTTTTTTAGTTACACATGTCGAATAAAAACATAGTTTCCTTACATTCTTAATATGCTTCCTGGTGGTCTACACTGTGTGTATAAATTTCTTCAAGATCGTACTCATTCCGAGATAACTTATAAAAAGGCAATGCCTACAAAGACAATTTAAAATGTAACCATCATCTAAATACATAAATGTGAACAGAAGATGTGTAACACCCCACATAAAGAAGTATGGTGTGAATGACAATAAAGGTGTGGTGCAGGTTTTGGGAATTGTATTCCTCTGCTACATAGGAACAATTTTTAGAAATATTCCAGTGTAAAACTTGTTAGTTCTTTGTACATGCTAAGCTGATTACATTAGGTATCAACAATTAATTTATGGATGTGATGCACACTCCTGTTAGGATACTATTTTACAATCAGAACATGCAGTCCTGCTATCAGTTGCTGTACCAGAAAGTAACAGATTTTCTTGAAAGAAATATTTTCTTTGATTTCAGCAACCAGTTTATTCAGCATGCAGTTCATACATTCACATAATTAATTGTCAAGTGTGCTAGCTAAAGATTAACACCATCTCCTGCTGGCATTTGATTGCAGAAAGTTGATAGTTACTCTTTATCTTTTTTGGTTTTGCAGGAATCAGTTAAGAGAAGAAGTCTAGAAATGAGCATTTGTGTTCCCTAAACTTCACTGGAATTGAAATCAAAACTGTTGGTATTTTCCACTTAAATTCTAATGACCTGAAAACTCAGCATGAACTCAGACCTGTCCAGTAGCAAGTAAGACATTATGCCTTGAGGGATGCTGTTCTTCAGCAGTGATCTTAGTTTTAATGCTGGGCTGTAAAGAACTTGACAGAGATTTGCTGTTTGCTCACATGTGCACACAGCTTTTATATAGTTCACAGAATCACAGAATAGAATTCAAATTGCTAGATGTAATGATGAATATTTAAAATACCTTAAGAACATTTCTAATTTCCTGAATCAGCAACAGCTGACTATCCCAGAGAAACTACATATAATTATTAAGAAAAAGGATTACAATCTCTATTGGTCACTGTAGAGTAAAAGGACATGCTCTCTATGAATGTCACAGTTCACATTCTGAGAAGTTTTGAGACTCCCTTCTCCCCGAAGTAAAAAAAAAACAAACCCACAGGTTAGTGGATTCAATCCACATTGTAGTATATTTTACTATTTAAAAAGTCTTCTCCCATGCACTAACAATGCCAAATACAAATGTGGCAGCATTCTATATGCAAGTTCTAATGAAATGAATTCTTGGAGCACCATCTCAACTTTATTTGTACTGTAACTGCATTTACTATCCTAATCCAAGGCCAACACTTCCTTTTTCTATTTTCCAAAACCTAGCACTAATGATGCTGAATTTAATCATTGTTCCAACCCATTTATCCACCTAGAAAACGAGAATGGGGTTTTCCTGAGTATGTAAGTGACTGAAAAACCTCTGGGTCACTTAAGACCAGATATTAATGGTATTTATGTGTAAGGATCAAGACAGACACTTGATGGGATTTCCACAACACCTACCTCCCACTGAAACCTCATCCTCTTACCTTGCTTATACAGGCTATTAGAAAGTTTAATCAACATGTGATTGAAGTACTTTGTGTAGTGTTTGGTCCTTCAGAAAGACACATTTAGCCCAAGAACATTTTTATTCAAACCTCCTGAATGAGTCAAGAAGTTGGGAATGCTGGTGATTAATTTATCAGATACGAAAGAGGCTGGTAACTCTTTTCCCACAAGCATCCCAACAGTCCTTGAATTATACAAACTATATTATCTCCCACATTCTCCTTTCTAAAAACATATGCACCATAAATAATGTTCTGGGACAAGTGGTAATAGGAAACATTATTTATTCTTCAAATATTTCACATCAATTTCTATCATGCCCAGTATGATTGATTCTAATAGTCATGCAATTTTGCAGATAAGGATCAATAAAAAAATACAAAAGTAAATCATACTGTTTTTTTTGTTTGTTTGTTTGTGGTTTTTTTTGTGTTTTTTTGTTTGTTTGTTTGTTTTCCATTTGAGTATTACAGAACAGCGTATGTGCTCAAATTCCATGAAATAAGGAAAAAAAATTAGAACACAGTTTTTGTCTCATGGTGCACATAGACACATTTGTTAATGAAATGTGTATCCAAGGGCAAAATGTAAATACAAGGGATGTCAGGGATATAGTTTTGGTGATTCAAGAGGCCATTGGGTAAATTTATTTCCCCTAAAATACAACCATATCCATGGTATTTTTCCTTTTAAGCTAGTAAATGGATGATAAGTTTCTTCCTTTAGACTAACCAAGGTTTATTATATTTTGTGCAATATACATACAAACATATATTCAGGCAAGAAAATGGTTTCAAAGAGTTTTGATTTCTCCATGTGTATCAGAAAAAATAAAAAGCTCAATCAATAAAAGTAATGGAGATGAACCCACGCATGAAGGCAAGAGTTCTGAAAACCAGGAATATTTTAGCATGCCATCAGAGTAATTGGGAAAAGTGGGATGAACTCAGGCAGGGTTCAAAAGTGACTTTGTTCCAGCTTCTGTTTCTCTGTTTCACTTTTTTGCTAATGTCAACAAAAATAAGTAAATGAGCTTTTTGCTGAAGCTTAGTATATTATTAACTCTTGACTTCGTATATTTACTGTAAAAGTGATATGTCCTTAACAAAAGTTGCTCATATTTACTGTCTTCTGCAGCTACCAGAACTGCAGCTATGTAGTAGTTAGTATTCACACTGCTGTGTTACATTCATCTGCTGTACTGTATGAATTCTTTGTAGCAGTTTGTGTACATTCTCTCACAGTCAGCATTAAATACAGAACTTAGAGGAGATGTTTTTTCCTTTCAAAGCATTCCCCTGCATCATAACATTGCCACTAAGGGGATCTGAAGAGCTGGGTTTAGAGTAGATTTGTAGCTACATCATTTAAGAACTAGTTTTAGTTACAGCTTCAAATGGCAGCATTTGATAACTATGTACGGAGGTGTGAACTGCATACTTTTTTGTTTTCACGCTTGTCTAGCAAACCACTAATACTTAATTTATAAAATATGTTAAAAATCTCAGCAGATCGAAACTCATTGTTTCAGGAGCAAAAATAAAAGCCGTTTTGAACCCTTGGTAAGATGGTTTCTTTAGGGCAGTTAAACTTCTGCAGATATGTTTGAAACTATATTGCCACCTGCTGTCTCGAGCTGAAATCAGGAGGCAATTCTTTTGCCCCCCGAAAAAAAAGATTAAAAGATTTTCACTGGAGGGTTAGGAATATGAATGTTGACTCTATTGTCCGGAAGAAAGAAAGAAAAAGAGGGCTAGTAATAAAATAAAATAGTAAGTTGCAATGTGGAACGCTTCAGAAATTGCTATGCTACAGCAGACAGCAGGCTCTGCCTCTCTCTCCCTCTCTCCCTCTCCAGCCGCTCCCCGCCGCAGACTCCATCCCCCACAAGGCGCCGCTCGGCCCGGCCCCGCAGTGTGCTGGCAGCCCGTTGGCGAAGCGGGGCCCGGCGGAAGCCTATCGCCTCCCGACTCCTTGTGCGGGGCCGGCAACCGCTGTACACACAGCGCGAGCCCGGCGGCCCCTCGGGCTCCGTCGGCGGCCCGGTGGGGCCATGAACCTGGGGTAAGGAGGGAGGGACCCGGCGGCCGGGAACGCCGCTCTGTGCGGGGCGGGACCACCCCCCCGCCTTAGCTCGGCGCCTCGAGGGCCGCTGGTGCCGGGGGGGCGTGGAGCCCGTCTGGAGTGGGGGCGGGAAAGGGCCGGAGGCGCGTGAGGTGACCGCAGCGCTGCGGGCGGCGTCGGGGGATCGCGTGCGGCGTTAGCATGAAGTGCGGGTTGTTGAAGTGCACGGATCGCACCGCTGCCTCTTCTCTGCACGGTTCCAGTCTCTTTCTTTCTCCCATTTTGCAGAGATGGGCTGAAGCTTGAAACTGAAGTGCTGGACGGGAAGCCGAGGCTGATTTTAGCCGCTTCTGGTATTTTTTAATTATTTACCTGAAGTAACCTCTCAAGCTCGGACTGATGTAATACGAGAATTTCTGCAATTTAGTACATCTTATTGCCAGGGAAAAAGAAGCCCAGTAGCTCCGTGCTTGATTTACACAGAACTGTATTATTTCACACTTAGATATTTACAGTACTTAAGTAGCTGGTGGCCGAGGTTTGTCATTTTCACTAAGCAGTTTATTTAGACCAGATCTCAGTGCTGCCACACTAGAAAAGACCATCTCATTAAAGCTTAATGATGAGCCTGTCTGAACTCTAGTTTTTTATTTATGAGGCGTGTTTATGTACAAGCACAGAATCACTTTCCCTAATTGTTCTACAGAGGCCTATGGCACCCTGGCTTGCATCAGCTGTGGTGCAGCCAGCAGGGCAGGGAACTCATTGTCCCCTTTGTCAGCCGTGGCGAGGCTGCACTTTTTGCATTTAACAGAGGGCTGACCAGTGAGATATTATGGAATGCTTTGAGTCAAGAAGAAATGGCAGACCACTGGAGACAAAGCCTCACAACACCTCTGGAATGGCAGTGCTCTGAAAGTGCTTTCACTTAGTTCAGATGTAGCTGGCATCATTTGTTGGAATGCTCACTGGCCCTATTCATAGCACATATCATTGCCACTCACTCTGAGCCAGGATTTAACACCTGCCTTTAAGAGTGACAACTTAGCATACTCTCAAATTTTAATACTTTCATCTGAATTGTAAAATATTATTAATAAGGTGTTTTGCAGACAGTCAGAACTGTTAGCATTTCTGGTATCTAATAGGTAGTGCAAAGAAGACGTGGTACTTTTCTGTACAACTGGGAATAGATGTCTCAAATATAGCTAGGTAGCTTTTTATTTGTTTTCCAACATATATTTGAATTTTTTATACCAAAAGAAAAACATACACATATACTGGGTAGATTTACAGGAAGGTACTTCCCCCTTCCTTACAAGATGTCTGATAACTATAATAGCTCATGAGTTTCTTAAGATTTATTTTTCAGGAAGAAGTTGTTATTAAATACTGTTCTCATATGTTTGTGTTTGCTTCCCAAAAGATAAAGCAAAGCCTGCAATGAAGGTAAGTGAAAAGAACTACATTTTATTTAGAGCACACATTATACCATTCAGTTTGTTGGCAGATAATTTTGAGAACACATTTGAAATGTCTCAATATTTGTAATCAGTCATGTTTATGAAAAAAAAAAAAAAAAAAGGGGTATTTCTCAGGTTCATTATAGCTATAAAAAAGAATCACAGAGTATCCTCTGTTGATAGGGACCCATAAGGATCATTGAGTCCAACTCCTAGCTGCACACAGGACTACCTAAAAACCAGGGTCAGTATCTAAGAGCATTGTCCAAATGTTTCTTGGATGTCTGCAGACTTGGGGCTGTGACCACTGCCCTGAGAAGCTTCCAGTACCTGGCCACTCCCTGGTGAACGACCTGCTCCTAATATCCAATCTGATCTTCAAAAAATTCAGTAAAATATTCAACAAGTTTGAATTAAAAGTTCGGTGACAACTTCTGCCATCACAAAGTGGTTTTGTTTAGTTCCCCAAAAAGTTACAACAGTGTAGGAAATCATCTCAGTTGGAACTTTCAGAGATCTTTAAGGGATGCTGGTAAAATTTATCTGAAATGTGTTTTACTGTCCATATAATCACATGGGCTGTGCCTGTCTGAGTAAACTGGAATGCAGTGAGCTGGAGGGACAAAGTAGATGAAGGTTTCAGTATCTGCGAGATAGTGACAAATGTACAACAAAGACCCTGGAAAGAGTAACTGTTACAGAATGGAAAAAATCAAGACTGAAATATTAGTGACTGTATGACGAACCACACTTGAAGCCATACTGCAGAAATGCCAAAGAAAATAAGAATGTTTATGATTTCTTTTAAATGTTATGCTATATAAAATTATTTTTGTGTCTTCTAAATATTCAGATTTAGGTGTTGTGTTTTCCCTTAAGGTATTTCAGGACAAGGGAAAATGATTTTAAGTTGGAGGGAGGGAAGGAAGAAGGAGGGAAGATTTAGGTTGGATGTCAAGGGGAAGTTCTTTACTGTGAGAGTGGTGAGGTGCTGGAACAGGCTGGCCAGAGAGGTTGTGGTTGCCCTGTCCCTGGAGGAGTTCAAAGCCAGATTGGATGGAGCCCTGGGCACCCTGGTCTAGTACTAAATGTGGAGGTTGGTGGCCCAGCTTGTGGCAGGGGGGTTGGAGATTCATGATTCAACCAGGGCCATTCTGTGATACCTAGTGCTGGTGAAGATACTTTACTGTTTTCTTATGGAGCTAGATTGTATTGATGGAAGGAAGAAGAAAAGAAACACTGTTACCTGCTGCTCATAGTCCTGTTTTTGTTTGTTTCTTACGAGAATTTCTCTCCTTAATGTAATATGTACTGAATTTTCTCTTTTTCTTTTTCTTTTTTTTTTTTAACAGATGGGAAATAAAGCCAAAGGGTCTAAACAGACTTTGAGAATAAGGCATACTGAGCATATGCTGAGGTCAACACGAAATGCTTGCATCAATCAGGAAAACTTAGCAAAATCAAGGAGTGGATCGAGCTTATCAGTGTCAAAAGGTGAAAGAGTGCAAGTAACTAAACCTTCCTCACGTGAAGCTACAACTAAAGATCACTCTTTGATTTTCCAAAGAGACACCACAAATAGGAAACCTGATTCTGAGAATCTTAATGTTCGAGAAAGTAAACACGAAGCTCAGAATGCACATATATCAGCTGAAGACCTAAGAAGTTTGGTGTGTTTAACACAAGAACAGCTTCAGCAGATTTTGATGATTGTAAAAGGAGAAACTAGGCACATCTCTGAGACTCCCAGTGAAAAGCAAGAGGAAATAGGTAAGATACAGTGCAGTGAAGTTTTCATACAGTTAACTGATGTTAGTTTCATGGAAACAAAGCAAAACATGAGGCTTAATTTTGAGTTGAATTCATAATTTATGTTTATTTGCAGACAGAGATACTACTCTCTAATGGTCTCAACACCACTGCTTGCTATTACAGATGTGAAATTGCCTGTGTTAGGAACCAAGCAGCTGTTAACAATAAGAACTAGAAATGGTTTGATAATATTCTAGTACTTTGCAGAGTAAAAAAGCAAGCAACTCTTGTCAACGTTTCATACTAAAATTGGGGGAAAAAAAAAATAGTGGAAGGGCACTGAACCATTAACATCAGAATTTTGAGAACAAAATCAGAATCTGAGCAACCTGCTTGAGCTGTAGATGTCCCTATACATTGCAGGGGAGTTGGACTAGATGACCTTTAAAAGGCCTGTCCAAATCAAATGATTCCATGATTCTGTGGAAATAACTCTCATCAGCACACTCAAAAAGCCTCAGAAATGCAGGCTTTTCTGGTTGATCAAAGAGTTCAGATATTGCTGTGTATCTCAAGAGCACTCTTTAGATTTCCTTCTGACCTTAAGATGTTCATGCATCTTTCTGCTTAACTGTAATACTACTACTGAGTAGGGTTCATTCTGCAGTTTTTATGCTGACAAACATGACAACTATTATGTATCTTCCTGTATCATTACTCTTATTTTTGGACCCATGGAAGAGGTCGACTCTGTCACCGCAAACATGGCACATTGAAAGTAAGTAGAGTACAAATGTCTGAGCTCCCTGGCATAGAATCATAGAATCACAGAATCACCAAGGTTGGAAAAGACCTAAAAGATCACCCAGTCCAACCGTTCACCTATTCCCAATAGCTCCTACTAAACCATGTCCCTCAACACAACATCCAGCCTTTCCTTGAACACCCCCAGGGTCGGTGACTCCACCACCTCCCTGGGCAGTCCGTTCCAGTGCCTGACCACCCTTTCTGAAAAGTAATACTTCCTCATGTCCAGCCTGAATCTCCCCTGCCGTAGCTTGAAGCCATTCCCCCTGGTCCTATCACTAATGACACGAGAGAAGAGGCCGACCCCCAGCTCACTACAACCTCCCTTCAGGAAGTTATAGAGAGCAATGAGGTCCCCTCTGAGCCTCCTCTTCTCCAGGCTGAACATTCCCAGCTCCTTCAGCCTCTCCTCATATGGCCTGTGTTCCAGACCCCTCACCAGCTTTGTTGCCCTCCTTTGAACACGTTCCAGGGCCTCAATGTCTTTCTTGCAGTGAGGGGCCCAAAACTGGACACAGTACTCGAGGTGCGGCCTCACCAGTGCTGAATACAGGGGAACAATCACCTCTCTGCTCCTGCTTGCAACGCTGTTTCTGATGCAAGCCAGGATGCCATTGGCCTTCTTGGCCACCTGGGCACACTGTCGGCTCATGTTCAGCCGAGCATCAATCAATACCCCCAGGTCCATTTCCTCTATGCAGTCCTCCAGCCACACCGCCCCAAGCCTGTAGCGTCGCCTGGGGTTGTTGTGGCCGAAGTGCAGGACCCAGCATTTGGCCTTGTTGAAACTCATCCTATTGGCTTCAGCCCAGCTCTCCAGCCTGTCCAGATCCCTCTGTAGGGCCTCGCTACCCCCAGGCAGATCCACACTTCCAGCCAATTTGGTGTCATCTGCGAATTTACTGAGGGTGCACTCGATGCCCTCATCGAGGTCATCAATAAAGATATTGAAGAGGACAGGCCCCAGCACCGACCCCTGGGGAACAAGCAAGCGTGTTTACTGTCAGTCTAGCATTCTAAGAATATCTTTGAAGTTGTAACTTGCATGTGTCAGCTGTACAAGCAGGGCAGAAAACAGGTTTGTTAAATAGTTGTGAGTTTGCAAGTCTCCGCTGTTCCTTAAGTAGTAAGGATTGAAAAATGTTTAGTGGGCACTGATGTTTTATTTGCTTTTTGTGTGTGTATATGCATATATGTATAAATGTACAAATATGTATACATTTAGGCATGTATATTTGTTCTACTACAGGCACTAGTGAGGCATCAGAAGAAACCGTTGTAGCATTGCTCCAAAACACTTGTGAAATTCCATCTGTTCCAGATGAGCCTAACTCTAATTCAAGCAGGAAAGAAGAGTCATATCCACAACCAAGAGAGAAAGTTATGTACGTAAATCTGTGTTATTGTCCATGAAAATTTTCTCCAATAATGAATTGCAGTTCTTAATCACAGTAAGAATTTATATAAATACTAATCAAAAAGTGATGTTTAAAATCAACAGATTTTCAAGTAATTTTTTTCTCTCCCTCACCTATAGAAAAGAGTCCTGGAAACCCGCTGACATGTTTAGTACCTTGGGTGAAAGAGAAGGAGAGAAAGCCTTATTAGAATCAAGAAAGAGCCAGTGGAAGAAGGAATTAGGTACTTACCATACACACCATTTATATTTTTATGAGTTTATGACACTAAAGATGACAACAAACTTTGCATTACTTATGCTTCTGTAAGTTCACTTATATCAGTGCAATTGCTACAGATTTGGAAGTTATCTGCTGTAAATCTCTAGAACAGATCAATTCCTAAACCTGAAAAAAAAAAAAAAAAAAATCTATATAAAGAAAATCTATAAATTCTTGAAAAAATACTGCTAAACAAAAGAAATATTTTCCCAAATAAGGCTGTGGGGTTTCTGTTTTGTTTGGGCTTTTTTTTTTAATGCTTCATATTGTAGGAGTTGTTGGCTCCTGTTGGTTTGGTCACCCCTTCGCCCCTTGATGGCCATTGTCCTTAACAAATCACTTTGTTTCTTCTAAGGGAAAAGTGTCACCTGGTCTACAGGTATGACTGAGTACAAATTGCAGCTTGACTTTGGAACAGTTTGCAGCCCTGTCCCATCACCAGCCACAGAGAATTGCTGTAGAAAGTTAAAACTGTTTAAGACAGTGCTAAAGACTCCATGACAAATGAAGCTATTTATGATTGATATACAGGAGTGTTGTTTCTACAACTTGTATGTAGATGATCTGATTACAGGGTTTGATGTTTGCAGTGTCCATTGGTTTGGCAATATTAGCATATTCTAATCTCATTAATCTTAACGAAGTGGAGATAATTGATATGCTGTGTTTCTCATTGATAGTTGTTAAGCCTTCAGGGTTTTGTAGTCTTCTCAGACAGATTACCCTCTTACCCCTACACCTCTGGACAGAGGCTCAGTGGCCATTATCTTAAGAGTAAAGTCACGTTTGAACTGGTAGGTCACACAGCGGTGACTATCGTGTAGTCCATTTACAATCACAGTTGTAGGGATGACAGGCCTATCTTACTTATTTTAATAAATGCATCTACATATCTGTATTAGGAATTTTTCTAAAGTTTCGTGCATTTTCCCACACTTCCTTTCCTGAAGATGAACAAGTAGCACTGAAGAAGAAACTGAAAGAAACCTTGGAAGGAGATGTGATTTATTTAGGGGCAAAATCTGGCAATGATAAAAACCATACAGAAAAAATGGAAACAGCTGACCCAGATAAGGTAAGGCTATCTATAAACACTGAAAAACAGAGTTTTGACAGCACCGTCACAGAACTCTTGAGCTCTTAATTCATACAAGATTTTCTTTTCTGTACAGATCCAATGTTAACAGGAAGCAGAATCAGATTTCAGCGGTTAGTTTAAGCTCTTTGATGGCAGGATGTGATGCAGCTCCCTATATCAAACTTAGCTTTTGCTCCAATTTTAGTTTTATCAGTTATATGAAGTATCACTAGCAATCTCTTCCTTTCCTTGCATGTTGATTATTATGAGGTATGAATCTATTCCAATTATGATTTGAAGCATAATGAAGTGGTTATATAATAATAAATATATAATTATTTACATTGTTCATTAGCTCTCTAGTATATCTAATGGCTTACCTAATATTAAGCATAGCATTTTGATTTTAACTTGCCTTTCACGTAGTCAGGTGTAACTGAAAATGGCATGTCAGATAAAACATGACTTTGAGGAGGCTGCTGTCAAACAGGTGGTTTTTATCCACTGTCAGCTGTAAAAATAAATGGCATCTTTTGGCATAATTCAGTATTCCTAGAAAAAAAAATTATCACCCTGCCCCCATAAGAGTTTGTTTCGTTGCACATAAGTAAAAACTACTGCATATGACATGCTTAATTACAGGTTTTGACTGAGGTTCTAATGGGTAGCAGCTTCTAGAAAATTGGTGTATTTGTTTTGTATACATTAAAGGCTATTTAATTCAAAACAAAAAGAAAAGCAACAAAAAACTAAATAAATCAAGATTAAATAAGTGGTCACTTTTTTTGTGGACACTGTTCTCAGCTCACCAGTTGTCAGTTGCGTAGCATTTGTTTTAGGGGTAAGATTTTAACTTGCATGCAGTTATGGGTTGTTGTTTGGTTTTTTTTTCCTTATTTATTGATAACAGATGTATAGCTGCTGTAGTTCTTTTAGACCAAAATAATTCAGTAGATCACTGTGCTCTAGCTAGAGCATTGTGTCGGAATGCCTATCAAAATATGGGTAGTTCAAAGACTTGAGTATAATTAAAGGCTGACATGAAGAACATTATGTGGTGTTAACTGAATTTTTATTTAGCTTTTAGGCATATGTTAAAGAAATAGATTAAGTGGGAACGTATCAAAAACAGAACCACAAGAAAAAAAAAGGTTTTGGTGCAAAAAAGCTTAAGAAATTGGGTTTGAAAAGACAGTGACAGAATGTTTTTTGTCAGATAGCATTGAAAATTCTCAGCGTCACTGGAGTCTCTGTGAAATTATATGGATATCCATTAATAATTGAGAAGACTGAAAGTGCTATGTAGAATTTACTTGAATCATCTAATGATGTAATGATCATGGGGTGAATCTACCTGAAACACAGGCTGAGCAGTGTCTACAGCAATAAGGAAGAAGGATTTTTGTTCACGATTGTCACGTTGTCTGGAGCAAGAGGCTGATGGTTCAAGTTAGAATAAGGTTCAATGACTGGCTTATTTAGCATCTTTCTAACAATTTAAGCATTTTTATGGAACAGTCAAGCACTTAGTAAAGTTACAAGCTTACATTCATTGTGCAAGAGAACAGCCTAATTCTGCCTGAAGTAACTGAAGGCACAGTTTCCTGACACATCTTTATTATGTGGCTGGACAATGTAGTGAATTTTGGCTACAAGTAATAGACAAGCATATATCTTATTACAGGAAGTTGTGCTACAGGAGCGACCTTTGAGTGCTTTGAAGCATGAGCAACAGAAGAAGTGGCTTGAAGAGCTGGACAAACAGAAGGAAGAAGCTAAGCTACGAAAAATAGAAGAAAAAATGAATTTATCAAAGGTAGGTGGCTTAGAGAGACTTAGAACTGTGGCTTAGACTGTGGCTTAGAATAAGAAGAACTTGCTGTTTCAATTTTTGTTCTTCTAAGAAATAAAAATTGAAGTCTTAGACTTAAGAACTAGTTGCAGAGACATAATGAAATGTTCTATGTCCAGTTTTTCATCATAAGATCACAGGACAGTCACTGAACGCTCAGGCAGTAGGTGTTGCAGTATTTGCCTGGCAGAGGACAACATGCCTAGTTTGATGTGTTAAAGTACTTGCTGTGGAGATGAAAATAGTGGTATTATTATAACCCCCATGGTTTGAAAGGAACAGGGAATGTAAGATCTTGCAGAGACACTGGTGAGACACCTTGTAAAAAAACAAATTTCCTGTAAGTTACTGAAGGAGATGAGAAGAAATTGTTAAGAGACACCCACTGTGCATCACAGAGGTATTCAGATCCTGTTTCTGGAAATACTATTTTGATACATGCTTCTGAAGCTTTTTAAACAATTGTTCACCCAGGAGGATTAAAGAAAACAGCCCTACCTTTCGTAACCTTCAGTTTTTCCAGGCTGTTGAATGTAGATCTTTTACACTGGATCTCAAAGGAAACTTGCCCATATAATTTGTTTGAAGTTCAGTTAAGTGAAGAGACTTCTAATACTGTCACTGCTGGCTGATCTGGGCAATGTATCTCATACCCCTTCAGGTTCTTATTATGGAAAAGTGAGATACTTCCTTTGTTACTATTTCTACCTTATTTCTGATCTTAAGGTTAGTGAAGTATTCTACATTATTATACAGACCAACATACTTTTCCAAAATCTCTTCATCTGTCTCTTGAAATGAAGAAACACACAGCAAGACTGTAGTGTTGCTAGAACCCTGATTTCCAAACTACTGTATGAAGGTTTAAGCCGGGTCGTATCTGTTACCATGTATGATAAATGTTCACCACGCTCCGTGTTAGCAGCTAACAAGAACCTCCGTTACCACAACTCGCCTCATAGGAGTGTTTGTAATCTGTGGCCTTTATCAGTACGCGATAGTTTTTACTCTGAGCTGAAGTATTTATTGCAGCAGTCACACAATTCCTATACAGAAAAGCATCATCTCAATTCTATGGCTCACAATAATAGAAACTTTCTACCCATCCTCTAAAATGAAACAAAAAATAATTAAAAAAAGAAACACCAACAACACAAACCCCAAAAACCAAACCAGCAAAACAAACCAACCCCACCTTGTTGCTGTCAGTTACATACTTACAGCATAAATCTTCTCTTTTTCCTGGGCCGCTGAGGGAACTGAATTTCCTTTGCAAATGGGACATTTTGTAGCTCTGAAGATAACGCAGCTGTAAAACATTCCTGCCTTGGTTGCCATGTTTTTTAATTTGCTGGGTGTGGCACAAGGAGATGGCTGCAGTTACCAACTTGACAGTAAGCTACTTCCAGCCTCTTGAAAGAAAACTGCACATATTTAATCTTTTTTTCCTTCATCTTCCTGTTTGCATCTCATGTTACAATCTGAACCTTTCTGTACTGCAGACTCACATAACACAGATATTTAACTTCTCTGATACGTTTGCACATCAACATGTTTAAAGGGAAGGCAAAATTTACTTAGGGAATGGGAGAAAGATTCATTTGGATTAAAATAGGCATAAAACTTCTCTTCAAGAAGGGATTCTTTCTGGTTTAAAGAATGTAGTCCTGGAAAGCTTTAAATAGAGTATGTTACTTGCATTCTGCCAAAAAGAAATGTATAAGTATTCATCTTACAGTCTTCTCAGACAAACAATTATATTGGTCAGAAGAAAAAATGTTCTCAGTACCTATAGCAAAAACAAAGGTGCTTTATGTAAAATGTCCAGCTGCAAAAATGGAGCTGTAAAGACAAGGCCATGTGATATGGAAGGGAGTCTTAAAAAGTCACCTCTACAGAAGTCTCGGGTGCTTTATTAGGATTGGATTCTTAAAAGAATTAAAAAAATAATAAATAATAAAAAAATAACAGGAAAATAAGAAGGTATAAAGTAGTATCTCTACCCAAAGCATATAATTCTGCTGCTGTCCATGTTTGAAGTGGTGTGGGTAAATGTGAGTGTAAAACCGTTCATGTTATTAACTTATTCTTTGACTTTTTTTTTTACTTTTTTTTTTTCTTCACTTTCTACTTTCTGGTTTGTATTTACTGAAAATATATTAGAAGCACTTTACTGCTGACCAAATGTATTGATCCACAGCATAATTTCTGCTCCGATTTGCATTTTAAGCAACAGAAACACTTTGGTGTTCCATCTAAGGAATGAATTGTTCTGTGTGTTGTAACTCCGTAACAAAGATTTTCAACTGTTGGTGTTGTACAAAATGTGTTGTCTCTTTTGTTAACCGTGCTTTGTAGAAAATGTAATTGAGCACATTTCCGTTTTTTGTTGCTTCATATTTATTTAGGCTGAAGAGCATGACAGATGGGCAATGCATTTTGATTCTTTAAAGAACCACCTTAATACTAACGCACAACACCCCTTAAATGGAATGTACAAAAAGCAGCCTGAAAGTCTTTGCCTGTCACCTGACCCTAAGGAGCTGACTGCTTTTGTTCACCCTTTCTCACCTGCAGCTCTAGGCAACTTCATGCCCTCAAAAGTGGAAAATGCAGAAAGAGGTGCTAAAAACAGTGCTTTGGATCACAGTCAGAAAACCAGGTGAGTGAACTTTGTAAGGACAATCGTCTTCCCATCCTGTTCACTTCTGGTACCCCTTAGAAACGAAATAAATATTTGAATAAGATGCCTTAAATCTGATCTTTGGATCTTATTCATTTGGCTTCTGCTTTTTTCAGAATTGCATATGGTTTCACTTTTGAAATATGCATATGCTTCCATTGTTCATTAATAAAATTTACTGCAAGTAACCTTATTTTTTTCCCCTAATAAATTTAATAATTAATACAGTGCAGTTTCATCAATATGAAAAAATTACTTGTAATCTGGGAATTCTAATTAAAGAAGGCATTTGGATTTACTCTTTATGATAAGAAAGCCACATAGGTGTTTCTTTCTTTGTAGTTTCCTTCGTTCAATGACAGCTCTCCTGGATCCTGCACAGATTGAAGAGAGAGACAGACGGCGGCAGAAGCAGTTAGAACATCAGGTGGGTTTCTGTTTTAAGGTCTAGAGCTATTTTAGTGAGAAAATGGAAAAAAAAGTGAATAAAGCATGACAATTTGATAACAGACTTCAGATCTAGAAATAGACTTCATATTACATCTACACATGATTAATAGCGTTCCACTCAGCCTCTATGTTTTTTTAATATTTATATTCGTTGATTGTATTTCCGTTACTGAATTCTTGGCTCAGAATGATGCAGCGTAGCCTTTAGAACTCCAGTAAGATTTGTGTGTGTTTTTTTTCAGTCTCTGCTACCATCAAGAGGACTGATATTTACATACACCTGTTCTGTGAACTTTACAATGAAAACATAAAAAGAGACTTTTGTTTATCTCTGAGTATTTTGTCTTCAGACTGCTTTGCTGGGCTGATGGTTCTAAAAAACAGTGGGAAGGCAACTAGCCATATTTTGAGAAATCGTAAGAAAAAAAGCATTTGAAGTACTTTCTAGCTAACAGCATGATCTGTTAGACTGCTATTTTCCCTACTACTGTCACATATATTAATAAATTGTCTTCATTTTTTTTATCTTTCCAAATTCAAGTGTCATGGCTGTACACAGAAGAATACAAGTAACCTGCTTCTAATGCCTTTATTTTCATTCTACTTTCTTATGATACCACTAGAAAGCAATAATGGCTCAGGTAGAAGAAAAGCGGAAGAAGAAACAACTGGAAGAAGAGAAGAGAAAATTGGAGGAACAAGAGGAAGAACAGCGCCTAGCACGAGAAAAAGAACTGATGCAGAAACAGTTTGAAGAAGATCTGCTTAAACAAAAACAGAAGGAGGTGGGCTTTTGTGTTTTGCTCAGTGCAGAGGGATGGAAATCTTTTACTGACTTGTCTGAATGTAGTGAAGTTAAATATTGCAGGTAGTGGGAAGACCTGTGAGGTAAAGAATGCAGGTGTACTTTCAATTAAAGCAGAAATACGCATTTTAAATGCAGATTTTAAATACAAAAAATACATGCGTAGCTCTTTCAGGCTAGGATTGAACAGCTTCGTTAGTACAGCAGAGCTTCTGACTTTACCATTTAAAAGTTACGTGTAAGGTATTGCATCCAACTCAGCTGGTTTTTGGTTTGTTTCTGTTTGTTTAAGATGCTTCACTCAAAGCAAGAAAATATTTTGACGTTATTTATGTAAACATTTGGGATGATGCGGAGATGACATGATCATATTCTCAAATTCCCACTTTTACTTTTTTTTTTTTTTTAAGGAACTTGTGGTTCTGAAAACAAATGAGCTCTATCAGACAATGCAGAAAGCTCAAGAATTAGCCCAGAGATTAAAACAGGAACAGCGCATCCAGGATTTGGCTCAGAGGGGACATGACATTTCAAAACTTCAGAAGAATCTTGATGGGGGTGAGTTCTGCCATTCTGCTGGTCAGTTTGCCTCTTCCTTTGGTGTGGGTGTGCAAACTGTGAGTGGGATTTTTTTCCCGTTTTTGTAGTAGGCCTGAAATTGCTCCTTTGCTTCAGAAACCAAATTTAATTTTAGCTTATTTAAAGAATCTTTCCAATAATATCAGTGTTCTAATGCAGTGAATGCCATATCTTAGTAATCTTCAAATGCTACGTTACATAAAGGAAGAAATACAAGGCTGTTATCAGGAGTGCATGTGGAATATTCAGACCTACAAAGGATTGGCTTGATTTTCAGTGAAACAGGCAGTATTTTAGGATCTGAATCACAATTCTCAATCTTTGCTTTGAGTTCTAAGCTAGAATAGTCTGATAACATGATAGCATAGCTTAAATAGAATATATGCTGCTACACGAAAAAAATTTGATTGCTTTCAGGTGGCAGTGAATTTGAAAACTGTAATACTGATGCTTCACATCGAAGTCCTAACTTCTCTGCTGACATTAACACTGATCAGCAGACTTCTCGGAAAGACACTGCTGTACAGACAGGTAAGAAGTCCTTCAGTTTGGTCACCTGATGTACCTTACAGACAGGCAGCAGGACAGCTAATTTATGTAACTGCAACGGGGCCAAATCGTTGTCATTCAAAATGGAAGAAAATTGAAAATACATGCTTGGACAGACTCAGGCTCCTGGAAATATAATAATATATCACTGTGTTTTTCTAAATCAATTGTATGTCTTTATTGGTACCTGACCATTACAAATTCAGATCAGCTACTCTGAAGTACAGTGTTGGCTTACAGTCATGGCCATAAGCCATGCAGGACTAAATTTATTAAGGAATTGCAGCATATATAGTTGTAGTCTTCAGGCTTGTGTCACATGCACTGGTATTGAGCTGGAATGGGCGCTTAATGAATCCTTTATTAAGGACAAGAAACATTGTCAGTAATCCTGGAGTAGGAATACTAGACCCATTAGAAAATGAAAGCTTATATTCAGATATTTAGAAAAGCTTTTTACAGTTGTTGCTACTTACCCAAACAGAATCTTCTTCCCACTTGAAAAGTGAAAGCTTTTTTATTTCTATTTGTTTAGGCCAAATGTTTGAATAGTTTACTCTTAGATCTAATTTACTTTTTTTAGATGACTGTACTACTTCAGCATACATTGATGCAGCTGAGGAAAGAACTTCATGTTGTGGGTCACCGGATATTTCCATAGAATATAAAGAAACCTCTAATAGCAAAAAATATCAGAAAGAAATGCAGTATACAGATAAAAACAGAATTTCAGGACAAGAGAATGGTGACATCCACAGTGAGCTGTATGAACAATATGCAAGAAAAGAAAGACAAGTTAAACCTTCAGAAAAACTTGGCAAAAGACCTGACTGGAACATAAACAAGCCTGAGAAAAGATACATTCCAGCATCAGAAAGATACCCCAAACCACTGCAAAAACAAAGGGAAGAAAATAAAGTAAGACGACAAATGGAGCTGCTTCAGTTGGTAGAAAGAAATACGCCTGGGAATCTCTACCAAAAAAAGGGTTGTTGCTCAGATGGGTCTCCTTCACCTCATGAAGAACTGAAGAATAAGGGACATAGAATCAGAAAGGTAACTATTTTTTCTCTAAGAACAGTGATTAATACTTTTTTTAAGACTTATTTCACTCAGCTCTGGTTGGATATAATTCAATCTCTGAGAGTTTTCCTACCGCCTCTCCTTTGGGTGAAGACCGGTATTACAGCAGTTTTGTTCAGCGTGGTTGGAAGAGCATTAAATTTTTGTGGCTTAGCTTTCAGTATTAGTTCAATCTTCCAAAGTGTATATTTGCTTTATTGATAATCATTATAGATTTATTAAGAAGCGTATACAACTTCTGCTTGTGCCTTGAGCTCCATAGACATAGAGAAGCAGACAGAACAAATAGATATAAGAACTTATTAGTTTAACTGAGTTTGTAGATACTACAAGTCTCTTTAATGCATGTCTTCGATAATATCTGTCTCCTGTGAGAGCTCAGATCATACAGTCCTCTCAGAATTTCAGAACAAACTTTCGTAATATGAGTGTTTAATATATTAAACATCAAGTTTTGTACTCATGGTTTTGACTTTTGTTTTTTTTTTCCCAGGAAGAACAACTCCGTAAGAATCATTTGAATGAAGAAAGGTACGTCAATATTCTGCATTAATGAATTTATAGTGAAATATGTACATTTTTCTTTCCTGATTTTTAATCTTTTTTATGAACTTAGATTCATCCAGTTGGACACTGTTGTGCAGAATGTTTTCTCTCCACTGTTTATCAAACTTTTGTGGGTGCTTTTATAGTAACTGGAATTGTTTCATACAGATTTGACTCACCACCTGTTCCAGCGGTTAAGAATAGATTACAAGTACAACAAAAACAGATATGCACCAGGAAATTGGAAGTATATAACAGTAGAAGAGAGAAAAATACCAAGGCAGATGTGCAGCAGAAGAGCTTCCCTCCTGCGCTTCCAGAAGCTGGACGACCTCCTTCTTCACAGTTCATTCCATACGTTCGAACAAACGAAGTGTATTATCTCGATCCAGATGCACCAGTGACCAGACCTTCAACACACGACCCACAGTATCGGCAGTGTAATGGTACTGCAACGTTTTGTGGTCTGATTCGTGTAGAAGAGATGGTGCAGCACCTCGGTTCGAAGTTCTGCGCTTTGTTCCATTTGTTATTTGCTTTTACTGAATTTTGCCATAACCCGTTTTTGTCAGAGCGCTGTACAGAAAGCCTGTGCAACCAAAACACAAAGCACAAATTCATAAAAGAAAAAAAAACATTTTTAATTCTTTTGTCTGGGTTTTTTGTTTAGTGAAATCTAATTGCACTTCTCTGGTATTGGTACATACGGCTTTTGGTTTCAGGAATCTAAGTGGTATTTGACTTAGTGATCATAATAAAATAGCAACCCAAACTTGATTTCTGCAAGTTGTGAAAGTCTACTACTTCAGAATTTGAACAAATTTATAAGTGTGTTGTTTATTAATTTCATATATGTATTTATTTTTAGATTCTTACCAAGTGCCACGACAGATTTTTAGCTCTGATCACACTAGAGATCCTCTTCTAAATCCTGATGTAGTTAAAATAAGAGAGAGACAACAAGCGATTCTGAAAGGACTGTCAGAACTACGGCAGGTAAGTGAAAAGTCATTGCACAAGCACATGTGTGCATACATACTAAGGTCAAAATGAATATTGCAAACCAGTACATAGTCACAAACGTTAGTCTTTAAGCCATTTTTTTTCCATCATGTATGATTGGACCCTGACCTCTACCTTTATTTCTCTGTATTAATTTTGCTTTAGTAAATGCATTGCTTCCACCTTTGGACTCTCCATAGTCTCTCTTTAAGGAGTCTTTGGTCATCAGATTAACTATGAAACAGTGGAGAATTTTAGAAAACTTGAAACCAGGGGAATGGCTTTGTTAGCCTAACTGAATACCTGGAGGCTTGCTCATACATAGCTGTTATGTGTTACATGCATGTATCATGCAGTTGCAGCTGTTTTTACTTCAGGGTTTCTTCATTTTCTAGTAGCTGTGAAAGCCATTAACAAAGTGGGAACCTTTTAGCTTTTGTGTGTAAACATGCAGCACGACATCCTAATACTTGTGACACTGTTCTAGGTCAAACAGTAATGCTGCCTTAGAACGTATGTCATGTTAGCAGTGTAAGCCAGTACCTGTCAACCCAAATTCCTTCCCTTCTGAGCGTGCTGTGTTGTCCTGCTGGAAGCTGTGCACTTAAAAAGCAATGCATCTTAACAAATTGTTTTAAAGTAAAAAGCAGTGACATATTATTAGTTCAGACTGCTTGAAGGAGGCAGAGCATTCACATTCCTATTCCATTCATTTCAGGGCCTCCTGCAGAAGCAAAAGGAGTTGGAGTCAGGTCTAATTCCTGTTAAAGCTCAAGAAGAGAACTTTATTTCACCATTCTGAAAGGTACTTATGACTGTACTGAATTATTTGAATGTAGAAGCACAACCATTTTGCTACTGTAATTGTGAACTATCTATATTATTTTTATTAAATAAATTATTATGCAATTTTTGATAGGATTACAGGGTCACTTTACTTCTACTATTCCTTTTCAACACGAAAATAAATTTAACTACATTTTCAGAATGGTCCTTGTGCTGCCTGAAGACACGTCCCTTTAGTATAGACACCAAAAGACTGTGAAAAGTTGCTACCTGGATTGTTGTGGTACTGTGCTATTTTTTTTTAATAAATAAGATTCACGATTCATTGTGAACGGCTTTAAGAGAGGGGATAGATATTTTTAAATACAGGAAACAGATTGTACTTTATTATCCATTATATTATCATTATATTCATTATTTACCACCGCAGAAATGCTGTCTCCCACCCCAACTGAAAGAGGATAGTGACACTTAATATGGTAATGGACTGAGTCCACGACAGCAGAATTCAGTTTAAAGAAGTCAGCTTAAAAACAAAGGTCTGAACAGCTCAGCATTCAATGCTTCCTCCTTCCTGGAGTTAAACATTAGATTCATTTCCTTTTGGGCTTCAAGATACAGGACAATTTGAGGTAGAAGTATTTTTCTTCTAGAGGTTCTGCAGAAGGTGCCTAATCTGAATTCATTTTAGTTGAGATACATGATAAAATACTACAAAACCCCCAAACTGAGTTTTTTCAGCAGCAACTGTTCTAAAAAATAGAATATGAAAGTATCTTACCAGCAGCAGATAAGGGAATGAAAGCAGACTCTGTCCTCTCCACTTGCATGCCAAGTCTCGTACAAGGTGAGCCCACAGTTGACGACGGACTTGGAAGAATGGTTTTTCACAAAGTCCATTCAAGTTTGTCGATAAAGAGACAAGAGTACTTACATGCAAGTGGTAAGGGGCAGAGGTATATACCAGTCTTGTCATGGTTTGTCCTTAATTTAAGGAAGTGAGTCAAACAAGCATTCAAGACTGCTCTTACAAAGCCTATAAATTTTAACCAATTCTATATAGGCCAACTAACTTTGAGTTTACAGTTCTGTAGTTTCAAACACTATTACCCATTTCTAAACCACCCGTCATTCAAACACTAAGATCAAATTACAAAACAGCAAAGAAATACGTTAGACAATTTGAAAACAAGTAAACATAGAAGTCAGCACATTAGCATATGTAAAAACACAAATTGTACCAAGGGTAGCAGTGAGACAACCCCAGCTGTGTACCTTCAAGTTACTGTTACCCAGCAGCCTTAGTGAGATGATGCATCAGCTGAGTCAAAGACTTGCCTCAGGAAAGTAAGGTTAACTCAGCACATGTGAAATTTGAAAGGTCAAGCTAAAAAAAAGATAGAACTCTACATGCAGAATAATACCAAATCTAAGAAGCAGGAAAGCACCAGGAATCACTGTGCAGGAGGAAGTAGGGCAGGAGGCAGGTTGAATTACTGAGGTCACTAAAACATCCCTGCTGCAGTTATAAGGGGAAGATACAAGTTTTAAGATCATTCTGATATTGCTCTAGTAATTACACCAAGTGAACTGCTAGTTGTAAAGTTTGGCTACGTTTCTTTTGTATTTTGAAGACAGCATAAAAACCACAGACAAGGCAGCGTGTTAGCAAGTCCCTTGTGCATTAACAGTTTATTTCGTTTCTGTAATGGAACTGCACCATTTGTTAATCTACTTGAGGTATTTTGCCAAAATGCAGTAAATAAAATAACTACACTGCCTTATAGCTATGTAAAAACATTCGTACAAAATTGTGTCAAATAAATACATACGTTTTGATATTTATGTAAAGAAAAGTGAATTGGATACTTACAGTTAAAAAAACTCGCCATTTCATATATTTTAGGCAAACATTCAATTTTACATTAAAACAGACTTCAAACTGAAACCTATGTACAGGTCAAATACAAACGTAGAAACTTAAAAGTGCCAACAACCAAGATAATTCAAGTACAATAAATGTTAAAAATATATATTTATTTCAGTTTTCAGATGCTTCCAACAGGTGCAGGCCATCACGGTTTAAATAAGATCAGAAAAAACTTTGAGATAAAGGACAAGAAATGTTTTGTTCCAGAATAAAATAGAAATTGTTAATCCAACATTTTAGAAACAGGAAGTCCACAGCAACTTATAAAAAAGACAAGTTTATTTCCGTTTTGAATATGGCCTGGAAGAATCACAGTTTTTATCCCAACCACCAGGCAGTGACGATTTCTCTGTATCCCTGCTCTGACTGTAAGCAGATAGAAAATAACTGCCCCCTTCTTGGTTTTGACTTGTAGAAGGTGGGTATGTTGTTCCCAGGAAAGTCTGATGGGTGAGCACATTAAAGTGACTGAACTGATGAGACATGTTTAATGGTCTGCTGTAAACCTGGAAATTATTGAAAGGAGCTCGTTCAACTGAACTGTGTTTTTCTCCTTCAGCAGAGCGCGTTGTAGAAACCGGAGTAACTGGCTGTCTCTCTTCCATGTCAATTTTAGAAGACTTTTCCATCAAACTCTTTCGTGATTCAGGAGATAACTCTGACACACAGCTCTTTTTTGCATCTACTGCCTGTGAGCTCTCGGTCTCAGTCTGCAAAGTTTCCAAATGGGTATCATATTTAGAGGCATCATTGCAGATTTCTATTTGTGATGCTTCATCCCCTGAATCCAGAGACATGTCCTCCTCATCCTTTACATCATTTTCTACATGAACTGCATTAAAAAAAGAAAAAGAAATTCCTATTCTATTGAAATACAAACTTTTGTTAGAAAATTTACACACTACTCACGGAGTGTTATGCTTCAGGTCTGCAAGTCCAGTATCATTTAAGTCTTGGTCTTCTGCCACTCTTGTTCACTTACTCAACATACACACTTAACCCTCTGATTCCAGTTATTCCGATGCTAAAAGCTTCTGAGAATTGTGTTCATGTTTAGTGTTGGGAAACCCCAACTCCAATGGGGTTTATGTCAAAACAGCATCTAAAGTTACACAGGAGGTCAGTATTTGATCAGACAATTAAAGGACTACAACTCCCGCCACCTCAGGTGTTTGTCTAGTTTCTGAGCCACCTTAACGATGACAGCTTATCCTTCTGAAAACAGACAGCCACACCTTTTTGGCATATGCCTGCTTTCCAGGATAGCTTGTTAGCCTGTAATTCTGTATTTAAGATCTCCTTTGGTGCTCCATCCCCGCTGCTGTTCCCCCTTAATTTAAAGCAGTAGCTTAAGAGCTGGGCTGGGTTTTCTTTACAATCTCTCCCATTCACTTACACAAAGACACTAATTCAAGGACCTCCACCCCACACCTCTAATTAGCTGAAGAAATGATGAATGTTTTTAATGTATTACCTGATTGTCTTTCCTGAGCAGAGGGAGATGGGCTGTCTTCTTCATTAACTGAGTTGTGATACCCAACAAGACTTGTAAAATTTTGCATGAAGTCATCGACAGTAGCAACAACTATGCCATTATCAGCATAATTTGAAAGTGGCTTGAGATTCTTTTCTAAATACATAGAAGGACACTTTGTATTACGATTTAGCACTACTACCGTAAGAGGGAGAAAGATAGTCATATTTGTTTGTAACCTGTTAAGAAGACAACGTGTCGCTGTTGTATGTTTTGAGACTGAAGCCTGATAAGACATTCTAATTCTGGTGCATTTCGAGTTTGTGAATCACAGTTATGGTAAGACAGAATTTCAACCAAGTGCTTCTTCTGATAGGTGTTCAGCAGGGTCAGCAGACTCAGGGCGTTAGCATTCAGTCTGTGATGGAAAAAAATATCAGACATTTGATGTAAGGTCACTCTAAACATTAAAATTCAGTTAAAAGATGAACATAACATTAAGTTCTACTTCACTGAGATTTTGAGAGCGTAACTAAAGCTGAAGATTTTAGCAACTGTATGAAAGATCACTGCTTACCTCCCCAGCTCTTTAAGTTTTTTTTGCATTTTGCAGTGGACTTTCCAGTGCCATTTTCCATCTGGGGTACTGAGATCCTCCAGAAACTGTAAGAACTGTTTTAGTTTATCTGTTCAGGAGATAAGATAAATTTCACAATCAGCAAACTGAAAAACACTATTTCAACATATACATAAAAGGGGAGAGATATTTTGCTTTTTTGAGTTTTCACCAAAGCAGTTACACAACTATGAGCACTGCCCCAATACTTTAGGTTTTATTCCTAGATGATTAGCCAACAAAAATATTCTAAAGCAGAGAGGTTTTGCTTCGAAGCCTAGCAGTGGTATCTGCTTTCAAAACAGCTGATTCAGTCAGCATGATCTGCCTTCTTAAAATATCCATGAGATCTGGTAACTAAAGATAAATATTCAATTTCAGATATAGAAAATTTGAAAGAACACAGATTTCCAGTAACTTTTTTACCACATTATTCATGGTTCTGAGTAAGGAATAAAAGGCCTTGTATACATAGTAGACAAACTTCAACAGCCAAGATCTCCATGTTCACACATTCTCCAGACAGGCCAGTGAGAGATTCAGGTTCTCCAAAAAATTCACATCATCTCTGAGTAAGACAGTTTTCTCATATCTTTAGAGTTCTGTGTTTTTATAGCTCCAGAAAGCATCACACTTACCTGTTGTGATGCTCTCTGGATTAAGGACAGATTCATCTGACACAACAAAGCCACCCGACATGAAGAGTTCATTGTAAGTGTGATTTTTCACATCGTCCAAACTATCGACACCCGCAAAGCTGACACAAGAAAGCTTCTTCAAAGTTACTAAGCCTGGTACCTGTTTAAAAATCCAAAGAGGTACACAAGGGAAAAGAAAACAAAGACTGCAGCTAAAAAATAGATGAAGAATCTTCTTGTCAAACTTTAAAACATATCTAAAAATTATTTTTAATCTCTTGCTTTAGGGGGTGCTCCCAAAAACATTACAGGTGTTGGTTCAGGGATACCTAATGTCACTTTAACAGCTGCCTTCGCTTGCTGTTACAGCAGTAGAGAACTAGAAACAGAACTACTGGAGCCTCAACAGAACTTAACAAGGACTAGGAAAAAGTACTAATTGCTAAAATGCACCAGAAGTATTCATCACCAACAATGTGCAGTTAGAAGTAGTTATGGGTATGTGATCTAATAGGACTGGACACAACCACAATTTTGTTTCTTTGAAAAGGCAGCTAATCAGACTGTTGTTTAAATATTAAGAGAGTAGCCTTGCTCACAGTGAGTTCTTCTGGCTATGCTTTGACAGTTGTTTTCTGTGGTACACATTTACTTATGTGAAGTACCTTATGGATGAGGTTGTCGATGTCTTCATTTTGAATAATTATCAACAGTTTATCTAAAGCAGCTCTTCTTTTTAGGAACTGTTCTGGATGGCACTCTGTATTACCTAACTTAGTAAGATACTCCTGACACCACAGAAGGAGATAGCGGGGGGAAAAAAAGAAAGGGAAAATCTCATTAAGCCAAAGCATTCTCCAGAAGATGACAACATTAATAAGTTTCCCATTCAAATGAATTCCAGAGAGACAACTATTTTTGTCTTTCTGATGCATTAAGCAGAAGGATGCCGCAACACAGAAACGGGCTGCTTTAGCAGGTAGGTCAGTCTTACAGAGTAGCACGGATGTGGCCAGCTGACAAGCTGACAGTCTATTAAGACTGCATGAAGTTTCAAGAAAACATGAATTTTTATGACTTCAACTTCCATCTTGCACATTTAAATGCAGAATAACAGCAATCTCTAAAGCTACCCGGACAATTAACCAAAGGGGGAAAAAAAAGAAGGAAAAAAAAAAAAAACACCCACACCACCACACATAACATCTTAGCAAGGATACGTGAAAATATCATCATACTCTTTCCAAAAACGTCCTCCCACAAGCCTAACCCTTCTGGCTGCACCTGCACAAAGACCCAAACTCCAACCAGTTCTGCTTTTCAAACAATAAGAATTAGGTAAATGCCAAATCAAGACAGACTCTGACAGCCTCAAACAAGAACTGTGGCAGGGCAGCCTGTTTTCGCCATTCACTGTAACAATTCAAACCTTTGTGAAACAAATTTTAGACTCCCTTTTGTTTCAAGTCCAGTTTTATAAATTCTGGTTTGAAAGCTACACCACTCTATTTAAACACTACAGAGAGGCTGAAATGGAACACGTTTACCTTGATTTCTTTGCAGAGAATGCTTTCCTCCTCTTCATGAATATAAAATTTCACAGTGTTTTTCTGTACATCTTTAATAATTTCAACCAAACTGTTAAAAACTTCAGGTTTTAACTGGCTGATAAAATCAGAAAGAGCTGGTTGGTTTGAAATGTTTAAGTTCTCTGGGGATTTCTGAGTCTTTTCTGGTGACTCCATCCAATTACCACTGGAAGGTGTCTGATCAGACGTCAGCATAGCTTCTGCTTTAGCATTCACGTGTTCTGCTTCTTCCTTCACTATGGACAAGCTCACTGACTGCTGCTCAACAGAATCAACATCTTCCACCACACTGTTACACGACGGCTCTGTTAACAGCGTCGTGTCAGAGTCCCTGCAGACAGGTAACACCTTGGGTGGAGGCTTTGGTGCAGCACTCTGAACTACTTCTGCTGATGCAGGACTACAGTAAATTGATGGAGTATGTCTGGTGCACGAAGAGGACAAAACAACACTCTTCATTTTCTCACTCAGTGTCTCTACATATTCTTGCACAGAAACCTCTGATGTCTGTAAACATACATATTCAGAAAATCTCATTATCCTCTCTTGGCCCAAGATGACTGGTGTGAACATACCACTCACATAAGAAATATTTTTTTCCTGCAAAATTTCCTGAATCTTTTTTACAAAGAGACTGTATTCTTCTAATATTACAGTCTCTACTATTGCACTTATGGAATGCTGTGTTGTAAAATGGTGATCTGCTAGCTCACATTCATCTTCAAGTTTCTCCACTTGTCTTGCATAAAGTCCATCTTCTGCTGTCCTCTTTTGTGTGTCTGAAAATGGAGAGTATGGAAACTGATAATCATAACTTCTCTGTCTATTTATTAGCCGGGGGTCACTAGGGAAGGCATCCTTTGGTGGTAAACACACCAGCGGTTCTTCTGGTGATTTCAGACCTATACAGGAAGAGTTAATCATCATCATCATCTCATGTTGGAAAGTGACAGCAGATACAGCACAACCTAAAAAATACAGGCTTTTGGTTTTTGTTTCTTCACATCTAACAAAGTTATAAGCGGAAAACCAGGAGATTTCTGTAGCAGAGGCAGTAACCAAAACAGCATTAGCCATTTTTAAAAGTTAGTGTTCTTCTGGAATTGACTTGGAATCAGATTTAGAAGTTAAATGCACTCCCTAATCTGAAGCCCATCCACATCTAAAAGGAAAACATTTGCCACTAGCAGGATCTCTTTTGCATGGTGTCAACATCATCTCACAGTTACTTCATACCTCTACAGAAACCGGAAGTGTTCCATTTTATTTCCTTCATCAATAAAACTACATGTTCTTCCTTCATCCTTCAAAGCTCAACCTTCCAGTCAAAGCAAATTTCTAATTTTCTTTAAAAACACTATGAACAGATATAAATCAGGCAATTTCAATTTGAACCTGGTTTTCTGTTGCTCTGTGACTTTAGCATACTTCAGCATATTGCAGCAGAACTGCCAGGTCACAGCCTAAGCCAATGGTTGAGCACCAGGTGAGAAGGCAGGGCGAACCCAAGCAGGGCACCTGAGTGACCAGAAGGAGCCTGGATCTGCCCCTCCTCACTCTCATTTAAGGGGCAGCTCTCTCTCCAAGAAGTAAACAGAAACTGCACTTCTCTCAAATTGTCAGTGGTTGTTAGAAGGATTGAGCTCATTTTTTCTTCTTCTTCTAACAGTCCACAGCGCTCATGGCTCAGTATAAGGCACTGCCATCACCTTCCTCTGCCTCACACATGTCAGTTTAGTTTAGAAGAATTAGGGAAATTCAGTATCAGATCATGATGTTAACAGAGTAACTCACTTTGAGCTTGTTAGATGTAAGCTACTATATATGATATATATGAGGCTATATATGTGATACTTGAGCTACTGAACACTTACCAACCTACACTACTGTAATTAAGAAATAGTATTATAAGGAACTCTTAGCAGGAAGATTTGAAATTGTTATAGCTTTAAATTTGGTGCTATTTTCATGTAACATCTTACATTTTGTTACAGGCAGTTACAAACCAATTTTACCAGTGAAAGAAGAAACACATAATTCACTCGTGCTTATTTAAGAATTTCTGTAACAATGGGATTAGGAAAAAGTCTTCACGATGCACACTAAGAACACATACTGGACTGATTAGCTTTTTTCAAATGCTATTATTTAGTTTTCTGGAAATAAATATTGCTTTAAAAACAAAAAGAGAGGGAGAGGGGGGGAGGACAGGAGAGAAGGAGAAAGGGAAGAGATTAAGACCTGTAAAGAAACTGCAAAGATCTTCTAACAGAAAGATATGCTGCTGGATATAAATACCACTCCAATGTATTTGTATAAATTTATTTTGTAATTTAAAATAGAGTTGCCTTGACTGAACTAGAATTTCCTGAAGGCAGTGCCCTTCAGAGACATACACCGTTGGGTCACAGGTCTCCATGCACACAGGAAAAAAAAATGCATCAGCAGGTAGTAAAACACAAATATAGAATTCAACAGCTTTTAAAGCACGAATTATGACTTCTTATTCTTCCTCAGTAATACGCTGTAACCAAATATGTGAAATAAACAAGAAAAAAATCCTGCCAGAAAGCAACCTTAGAAAAAAGAGCAGTTTAAGAGCTTATTACTGTTCTTGCAGACT